TTACCTTCGTAGGTGGCTTTGAAGCCCAGCAGGTTGCTGACACTGTCGGTCTGGAACAGGAGCCACATCTGGTGCTGGGTGCTGACAATGAGGTCAGGGACTGTGGTGCCTGTCAGGCTGCAAAAATAAATAAGAAAAACAAATTAAAATCATGTAATATAAAAAAATGTGTTAAAATAATAATTATTTTACATATTCTATGTTTATATTAATTATATACTATTAAATTATAATAATATAAAACTACATATTATATTAGTAAAATAACATTAAAATTATAAAAATAATTTAAATAATATAATATAATGAAAGCATAATATATAATATATAGTGATAGAATAATATAGTAATATAATAAAATATATACTTATATGCTTTTATTATAACATAAAAGTTTATATTATATTAATAAAATACTGTTAAAATTATAAGAATTAAAATAATATAATAATAAAATAAAACCATAACATAGTATATAATTTATAATATATAATGCATAATAATATAATAAAAATATAATATGAATATGTACTATAAAATATTCTATAATTATAAAAAATATATAAATACTATAAAAATATAATTGAATACATAATTAGAATAAAAACAGCCTCAAAGTGGCCTCAGATTCACCACCCTCAAATAAAGGACTCTGCAAGGGAAGGAAATGCCAAACTAATTAAGAATCACCCCCAAAAATGGGATATTTTCGAGCCTGGTGAAAATCCTTCCATGTTCAGTCTTGCCCCACCACCCTCAGTGCAATAATTACAATTCCCTGCTGTTGTTGGATCAGATCCCCCAGCAGCCAAAGGAATCGTTTCCCTGCTCGCTGAGGCAAAACATCGGCAAACAAATCAAATTCCCAGGAGCCAAAGTGAGCCCTGAGTGACCGAATGCCCCGAACTGCCCTCGCAGCAGTTTCCAGGAGCACAGAAAATGACTTTCCACCCATTCCCTGCTCCATTGCTGCACTGAGAGAAGTTTCTAGGAAAGGAAAAAAGCACCCAGAGTGTNTGTAATTCACTGTCGCATTGTTTTAATAGAAAGCCAGAATTTCAAATTAAAACCAGATTTATGGGCGCTCCCACACTAATTTAATTTGGATTTCTGCTGGAATTGGGAAGGAGCTGAGTCAGGTCTGAGCCCCCTGCTGCAGGCAGGGGATGATTAAAAGCTGTTTATTGTCAGGGGAGTGCTGAGCAAGGCTTTGGCTGTGGAGAGCTGGAATTCAGCCCCACGGTGCCAAAGAGGCTTAGGAGCTCTGCAGGGCTGGAGCTGGAGATTTCCTCCCCTGCCCTTTGTGCTTTTCATCAAACTTTTTCATCTTACCACAGGAATTGATACAATTGATTTACCTTTATGAAGAACTCCAGTTCTTCAGCAGAAGGAATAAGGATTTTATTTTTCTTTTTTCAAACTTTGCTGGGATGAGCTGCTGCTTCCTGCAGCTCTTTTGCCAATTATCCAGGTGGGGATCCAGCCCTGGATTTGTATTATTTTAGGTTCTGCATCTCCCGCCTCATTGTTTTGTTGGTGTTGGGGTCTCTCAGGAGGCCAAGGGGTTTCCATCCCTGTTGCTCTGCTCTCCCATTAAATTAAATTTAATTTAAATGAAATGTAATGGGTTGAGTTTGTCACAAAGCAGGAGCCACAGAAGGGCTTTGAGCTGTTTTTGCCAAGGTCCTGTTCCTGGTGTTTAGGCCTGGCCTAAAGCTCAGGACAGGCCTTAATGTGATGCCGGTCCTAGCAAGGCCAGGCCTAGTGCTTGCTCTGCTCTGCTCTGCTGGTTTTGGGGGGCAGGAAGGGATTTTTCCTTTTAATTCACCCCCTCCTTGCTGTGTTTCCTCTTTAGATCCTTTTTTATCTCCCTCAGGGAATCCCAGACTGGTTTGGGTTGGAAGAGGCCTTAAAGCCCATCCTGTTCCGTCCCTCCATGGGGTCAGAACATCCCAACACCCATGAGAACAGCAAACACAAGCTTAGGCCAGACTTGATCACTCAAATCTTGCTGCATTCCATGAGTTTCTTTGAAAAAATCCCAATATTAACTTTTATTAACTTTGATTTCACCTGAAAGAGCCCAGTTGACACCAGAGATCTGCTGGAACCAGAGATCCCCCATCCCATCCCTTCCCACAGGCACAACCTATTGCTATCAGCTGAAATCCCCATTTTTTTTCCCAATAAAACACCAAAATGGCAATGGTGTTTGAAATGGTTGAAATGGCAATGGGACAGCCCTCACCCAGCTTGGATGGNATCCTCAGCCCCACCTGGCCAGGTGCAATCCTGCAGGAGAAAACTGGGGAATTGGAACTCACACATGAAGCATAGATGGGACAATTTAAGGAAATTCAATTTTCTGACACCAAAGTGACAACAAGCCCCCAAAACCACCAGATCCCTGCCTGCCAAGCCCTCAGCCTCACCTGGCCAGGTGCATTCCTGCAGGAGGGAATTGGTATTCACACCTGGAGCATAGAGGGGACAATTTTCTGTCCCCAAAGTGACAGAAAACCACTAAAAAAATAAAATCCCTAAACCCACTGGATCCTGGCATCCCAAGCCCTCAGCCAGGTGCATTCTGGTACTCACACATAAAGCACTGAGGGGACAATTTAAGGAAATCCAATTTTCTGTCCCAAAAGTGACAACAACCAGCCCCAAACCCACTGGATCCCTGCATCCTAAATCCTCAGCCCCACCTGGCCAGGTGCAATCCCACAAGAGGGAATTGAGGAATTGGTACTCACACATAGAGCTCAGAGGGGACAATTTTCTGTCCCCAAAGTGACAGAAAACCATTAAAAAAAAAATCCCTAAACCCACTGGATCCCTGCATCCCAAACCCTCAGCCCCACTTGGCCAGGTGCATTCTGGTACTCACACATAAAGCACAGAGGGAACAATTTTGTGTACCCAAAGTGACAACCAGCCCCAAAAACCACTGGATCCTGGCACTATAAACCCTCAGCCCCACCTGGCCAGGTGCAATCCCACAGGAGGGAATTGAGGAATTGGTACTCACACATAAAGCTCAGAGGGGACAATTTTCTGTCCCCAAAGTGACAGAAAACCACTAAAAAAAAATAAAATCCCTAAACCCACTGGATTCTGGCATCCCAAGCCCTCAGCCCCACCTGGCCAGGTGCAATCCCACAGGAGGGAATTGGGGAATTGCTACTCACACATAGAGCACGGATTTCTGGTCCCCGACCTGGCCTCCATCNCCTGGCCAGGTGAATTCTGGTACTCACACAAAAAGCACAGAGGGGACAATTTTCTGTCCCCAAAGCGACAAAAAAACACTAAAAAAAAAAGCCATAAAACCACTGGATCCCTGCAGCCCCACCTGGCCAGGTGCAATCCTGCAGGAGGGAATTGGGGGACAATTTTTTGTCCCCAAAGTGACAACCAGCCTCAAAATCCATTGGATCCCTGCAACCTAAACCCTCAGCCCCACCTGGCCAGGTGCATTCTGGTACTCACACATAAAGCACAGAGAGAACAATTTAAGGAAATCCAAATTTCTGTCCCAAAAGTGACAACCAGCCTCAAAATCCACTGGATCCCTGCATCCTAATTCCTCAGCCCCACCTGGCCAGGTACAATCCCTCAGGAGGGAGCTGGAACTCACACATAAAGCTCAGAGGGGACAATTTTGTGTACCCAAAGTGACAACCAGCCCCAAAAACCACTGGATCCCTGCATCCTAAACCCTCAGTCCCACCTGGCCAGGTGCATTCTCTGTGCATAAAGCACAGAGAGAACAATTTAAGGAAATCCAATTTTCTGTCTCCAAAGTGACAGAAAACCACTAAAAAAAAATCCCTAAACCCACTGGATCCCTGCATCCTAAACCCTCAGCCCCACCTGGCCAGGTGCATTCTGGTGCTCACACATAAAGCACAGAGGGAACAATTTAAGGAAATTCAATTTTCTGTCCCAAAAGTGACAACCAGCCTCAAAACCCACTGGATGGATCCCTGCATCCTAAACCCTCAGCCCCACCTGGCCAGGTGCAATCCTGCAGGATGGTGCTCACACATAAAGCACTGAGGGGACAATTTAAGGAAATCCAAATTTCTGTCCCAAAAGTGACAACCAGCCCCAAACCCACTGGATCCTGGCACTATAAACCCTCAGCCCCACCTGGCCAGGTGCATTCTGGAACTCACACATAAAGCACAGAGGGAACAACTTAAGGAAATCCAAATTTCTGTCCCAAAAGTGACAACCAGCCCCAAACCCACTGGATCCCTGCATCCTAAACCCTCAGCCCCACCTGGCCAGGTGCAATCCCACAAGAGGGAATTGAGGAATTGGTACTCACACATAGAGCACAGAGGGAACAATTTTGTGTACCCAAAGTGACAACCAGCCCCAAAAACCACTGGATCCCTGCATCCTAAACCCTCAGTCCCACCTGGCCAGGTGCATTCTGGTACTCACACATAAAGCACAGAGAGAACAATTTAAGGAAATCCAATTTTCTGTCCCCAAAGTGACAGAAAACCACTAAAAAAAAAATCCCTAAACCCACTGGATTCTGGCATCCCAAGCCCTCAGCCCCACCTGGCCAGGTGCAATCCCACAGGAGGGAGCTGGAACTCACACATAAAGCACAGAGGGGACAATTTTGTGTACCCAAAGTGACAACCAGCCCCAAAAACCACTGGATCCCTGCATCCTAAATCCTCAGCCCCACCTGGCCAGGTGCAATCCTGCAGGAGAAAACTGGGGNGCTCCTTCACTGGTTCCTCACAGGGTTTGTGCTCCCAGCCCCTCTTGATCAGCTCAGGAGTCCCAAAATCCTTCCCAAACTGAGGGCCCAGAAGCACAGGCACCTTTCAGGGGTTTTGGAGGGTGATGAGGTGACCCCTGAGTGTCCTTTTGTGCAGGACAAACATCACCACCTCCCTCAGTGGTTCCTCACAGGGTTTGTGCTCCCAGCCCCTCTAGATCAGCTCAGGAGTCCCAAAATCCTTCCCAAACTGAGGGCCCAGAAGCAGAGCCACCTTTCAGGAGCTTTGGAGGGTGATGAGGGCATCCCTGAGTGTCTGTCTGTCCAGGCCAAGCTCCCCCAGCTCCCTCAGTGGTTCCTCACTCAGGGGTTGTGCAGGGTGACGAGGTGACCCCCGAGTGTCCGTCTGTCCATCCAGACCAAGCTCCCCCAGCTCCCTCAGTGGTTCCTCACTCAGGGGTTGTGCAGGGTGACGAGGTGACCCCTGAGTGTCCGTCTGTCCAGGCCAAGCTCCCCCAGTGGTTCCTCACTCAGGGGTTGTGCAGGGTGACAAGGTGACCCCTGAGTGTCCGTCTGTCCAGGCCAAGCCCCCCAGCTCACCTTGGCGGGGTTGAGGGCGGTGATGACCCACACGCAGTAGGCGTTGTTGTCGTACTGCACGGGGTAGTTGGGGGACGTGATGACGCCGCTGGGCCCGCGCAGGTACGTGTCACACATCCTGGCTGGGGACACAAACGGGGACACTCAGCACTGCTGGGGGGGCAGGAGGAGCGATGAGCTTGAGGTGGAGGTGGGAGGAGGTGGAAAAGGGAAGAGGGGGAAAAAATGGAGAAATTGGTGTTTTCGCGGCCTACACTGCTCCTTTTTTACACCCGGGTGGTGAAAATGAGGGGTTTCTCAGTGAGGAGTGGGGCCATCAGCCCTTGATCCCAAAAAACCCTTGATCCCATCAAACCCCAATCCCATCAACCACTGATCCNCATTAATTGAATTAATTAAAGCTATTTATCATTTCAAAGGCAAAGGCAAAGGGATCTCCTCTCACAGCTGACAAATTTCCATATTTCTGTGGATGACAGAGCAGAACCTGCAGCTCCTTGTTGGGAAATCTGAAAATGGATGGATTTGACCAATTCCAATCTCATTTTTGTACAGACATGACTGCCCTGGCCTGGGAATGATCAATCCCTGTCCATTTTCCCCTGGCAATGGGAATTGAGTGTTTGGTGCCCTCACAGCTTTTTCCAGTCTCACCCCATTACAAGGAGAGCCAGGGCTCATATTTAAATTTAAACCAGTGCAAAAATGTCAATAAATTCACAATGCTGCATAAATAGCATGAGATAGACCCAAACCTCACTCCTCTGCCCTTGGGGGCTGAAATCCTGCTGGATAAAGGGGAAAAAATTGGGAAAAATCAGCATTCCTGGCACAGCCTCCCTGCCCTGATGAGCTGGGCACCTCCCCACACCAGATATCAAAGGGGCTTCGATTGCAAATAATTACACTCACTTTTAATTACAACCCTGAACTAAACGAGCCTTCAGCAGGGAGGGAAGGGCAGGGATTCCAGGACAGCTGGGAAAACACAGGGAAGAGTCTGTGTGGGGACAGAAACTGAGCCTGGGGGGCTGAAAAAACCCAAATGTGAGGGTGGGGAGGGGCTGGAAAAGGTTTCCCTCTGGATCCCAAGGTGGAAAGGGCTCGGAGCAACCTGGGATAGTGGAGGGGTCTGAATGTGTCTGGATGAGTTTGGAAGTATCTGCATGAGTTTGGAGGGGTCTGGATGAGTTTGGAAGTGTCTGGGTGAGTTTGGACATGTCTGGAAGTATCTGCATGAGTTTGGAAGCATCTGGATGAGACTGGAAATGTCTGGAAGTATCTGGATGGGCCTGGAGGTGTCTGGATGTGTTTGGAAGTGTCAGGAATTGTCCGCATTTGTTTGGATGTATCTGGATGTGCATGGATATGTTTGGAGGTGTCTGGATTTGTCTGGATCTTTCTGGA